TTTTGGGCCATTTCCCAAAACCATTCGAAAAGCTTAACGCAAACTTTGTTACCGATTACGTTTTTGCAATAAATACATTTGGAAAAACCCCGTACAATTATTAAAGCATATCGGTATACAAGGGTTAACGGCATAATTTTAATATGCTTAACAACCAAAATAATAGCTATAAAACACCGTACGCTCCGTATAATTGTTTTTAAAAAGGGGTAAATAAATAGGGTTCCAATTATCGCTTTATTGGAAATCGATAACCTTCCGCAACGGGAACGCGTTACAAATACCCACATAAAACGAAAAAAAAGCAATGTCCGTTTTGGGGGCAGGTTTATTGGAATCGAAAGCGTTGCGGCGGCGCTCGTCGCGCGCTTTACGCTTTTTTTCGGCAAAGGTTTTTTTGCCGCGGCGGTTAAAGCCCGCCGGGGGGTTACCGGCAAAACGTTTGCGGGAGTTTTAAAAAGCTGCAAGCGCAAAAGGGCCCAATAAACCCGCAACATTTAAAAGGCTTACCGGAAGGTTATTAATAAAACGATCGTTAAAAATTTAAAGGATTAAAAATTCCGGCAAAACCGAATTCGAATTTAACTAAATTACGATAGTTAAAAAAAATACCGGGGGGTTGCTAAAAAGGGCTAGCGGGCCGGTTAAAACCGAAAAACCCAAAACGAATACCCAAAAAAATACCACTTTCCTTACGTAATCGGGTACAAAAAATAACATTTATAGCTACCGGTTAAATCCAAATGTTTAAAAAAAGCGGTTAAATACCAATTACTTACGGTTACGATCGTTAAAGTTATTAAAATGGTTATTAAATGCATAAAAAGGAAAGAAAAAGGGTTCGTAGCTTCGAACGGAAAAAAAAGCTTTTTATATACCGGTACGGACCCATTTTTCCAAATGCTACAAAGTTTTATAACCGGTTTCCCCAAGCGTTGCCGGGCATTGGGGCGGCCTAGCGAAATACCGTAAGCTACCGGTTACCCACGGGGTTGCACGCGCGGTACAAACGGCTTGGGATAAACCGTATCGGAAAGGGGCAATATGTTAAAAGCACGGGCAAAACCGCCCGGCAAAAAGCAAAAAGCGTTAAATGCACGGGCAAAACCGCCCGGTAAAAAAGGAAAAAGGGGGCGCTAGCAACCAGCCGGGCACGGACCCTTTAAAAACATGCCGGCGAACTACCGGTATCGCGGCCAAAGCATAATGGCAAAGTTAAAAAATAAGGTAAAATTTAAATTGCACGAAAGCGCTTGGAACGCGAAGGATTTAAAAGACCGACCCCGGGTGCCCGAAGGGGCACGAAAGAAAGGGAAGTTAAAAAAGGAACAATTTTTATTGGCGATAGCACTTTTGGTAAGAAATTTACGGAAGCTTAATAAAGGAAACACCGCATCCGGCCCGTAACCCGGTAACTACCCGCCTTTGCACCGATTAACCCCTAACACTTTTTAACGAAATAAAAAAATACTAATTCTTACAATGGATTTTAAATTTTTTTAAAAGCTTTTTAAGCGATTGGAAAATAACATTTTTTTTTAACGGCAAGGATACGGCGAAGGATAAAGTTTTATGCGAAATCCCGCAAAAATTCCCAATATTACTTATCCTTTTTATTATTTATACGGCAAGCTTGTACAAAAAATTACGGGAAATAAAAGGGGTTGCGGCTACGGGATTCGCAAATAATACCAATTTAATTAGCTTTAACCATAACGCGACGAACGTAACCAATAAGCTTAAAACCGCTTACAACGTATGCTTGGAATAGGCAAAAAAATTTGGAATAAAATTTAACCCGGCCAAATATTAATTGGTTTGGCTAACAAAAAAAAAAAACCCGCGCTAACGTTACCTTTCCGTTTCGGAAAGGTTACGGTAAAACCAAAAACAACAAAAAAAGCAATGCAAATATTAAATTTTTGGATTAACTCCAAATTGGATTAAACTTAGCATATCCAAAAAATGCGCGAAAAAATAGCAACCCAAATGCTATTTATTACGCGTTTAGCAGCAATAACGTAAGGACCCACGTTTACCAAAATTAAATACTTGTACCTAGCCGTAATTAAAGCAATATTAAGTTACGCGGCCCCGGTTTATTATAAATTCGACGCTACCCCGTTGCGGTTTAAAAAAATGGCCAAAGCGTAAGCAAAAACGCAAAACAATTGCTTAAAAATAATAACGGGGGCTTACAAAAAAACCCTATAAAAATTGTTGGAATTAAAAACGCATATAGCCCCGATTTAAATATAGTTAAATGGTTGCGTTGCCCATTTCGAAAAAAAGTTAAAAAAGGGCGGTTTGGCGAAAAAAATTGCAAATACTTGCAAAAAGGTACAACGGAAATTAAAAAATAAAAAGCGGAGGTTTACGGTTACAACCACGCGGTTATTTCGTTAACGGGAAAAAGCGCTAAATTAAATCGGAAAATCGGACCCGGAAATAGCAATGCTGGAAAAATGGAAAAAAAAATGGCATAATTACGTTACGGCAACCAAAAAAGGCGTTAAAACCAACAAAAAGCAACCCAACGAAAAAATTTTAAACCTTTACCGCAATTTTTACAAAACCCAAAGCTTGCTGCTGGTTTAGCTAAAAACGGAAAGGCTAAGGTTTCGGGGTTATTTAATTTTCCGAAAAGTTCCCGGCGTGGCCGCAACGTATTAATACGGCCAGGACCCGGAAATGGTAACATACGTATTGCTATATTGCCCGGACCTGCAAAAACAAAAAAAAGAATTTTTCCAAGCAATAAAAAGGGCGGCGAAATCCTTGTTAAACCAACCAAACGAAGCAACAATCGTTACAAAATAATTTATAAAAATAGAACGGCTTTTTAATTACGCTTTATCGAACGATATTATCGATACGTAAGCGGAAAAAGCGGAAAAAAAAGGAAAAGATAAAAGGACGTTAAACGCCGCAATAAAGCGGCGAATTCGGAAAGGAAACAAAAAGCCTAACCGCCCCGGCTTTAAAAAGCTAAACCCATATTAAACCTTGTTAAAAGAACCTTTCAACAACTTTATTAATTACTAACAATACCATATACCAACAAGCAAAATAACGCAGCTTTTTATTTTAACGCTAAAAAGCGGGGATTTATTTACGCCCGTAAAGGCGGGTCGCCGCAAACTATTTTTAAAATCCCAAATATAAAAAATCCGAACCGCCGGGTATATAGCGCTTAAACGGCCATGTTATCGCTTTTATCCTTAAAACCGAAATTAAATTCGTTAAAATCGCGGGGAAGCGCTTGGGAAAGGGAAAGGAATGCAGCAACGGTTACCTTTTTAATCGTTACCCCGGGCGCCGCCGACACCCCTTTTACCGCCCCCGTCGCCGCCGCAACAACCCCGGTTGGACCCGCAACCTTACCCTAACCAAACTTGTTAATAAGCTAAAAATTAGCCGCATCGTCCTTTTTTTTAAGCTTAGCCGCGAAACTATTAATTACCGAAAAAAAGCTATTTGTTACTTTATTATTTTTACCGTTACCGTTGCCGCTATTAACTTACGAAAAATCGGCAAAGGTAACCTTTTCGAAATATTTATTATAACGATTAAAAAATTCGGTAACGTTATTGTAAAGTTAAACGTAAATATTTCGACGAAATTAAACGTTCCGCGTATAAATTTCGACGCAACCCATTAACGTAAAATTGCTAAACCCGTTACGTTTAACCTGGAAATAATTAAAAGCGATATTAAATATAAAAAATATTTTAATAAAAATGTTAGCAATAATAATATTGCGGCAAGCTTTAATTCCGGGGTTTCCCGCAAAATAACGGGGAGGTTTTACCGGGGCCGGGGTATCGTTCGGGGAGTACGCTTTGCAAGCGGCCTTAAATTTGGCGTAAGCGCGGCGTTCGTACTAAGGAAGCCAAGCTTTCCAATTTTATCCAAAGTATTAACAGCGCACTAAGGACGTGGAAAATATAATAAAGCAAAAAAAAAATTTATAACTTTTATTTTGCCCGTAAAGTTAAACGTTTAAGCGTAATGCTTTTTACGGTTCGTAAAGTTATTATTGGCAATAAAAGCAAAACTTACGGATTTAAACTTTTCCGCGGCGTCGAACATACGTTAGCCCGATTCCGAAACGCTTTTTTCCAACGCAAAAATGCATTATCCGTTTTTGTTAGCCTTTTTTTTCGAATAGCAATATATACATTTCCTTAATTTAAAATTTAAACCAAAGCAACCCATTAACAAAATATCCGGAAAAATAAAATTAAAAAAAATAACGAAAAAAATTTATTAAAATTTTGCATGCAAGCTTTATTAAAATTAATTTTGCGGGTTATTATGCGCATGCACGTAATGCAATTGGTTAAACCGTTAAAAATATTGGAATGGGTTAGCGGGAAATTGCAAAAATGTAAAAAAAACCACATACAAACAACGGGCTTTGCGCTTTTTAAAATTGCCCGTTACTTCGAAAAAAGGTAAAGCAGGCCTTTTCGTGCTACCTTTTTTTTTAAGCGTTATAGTACGATCGCGGACCGCGGAAAGCCGAAACGAAATATTAGCAAAGCGCTAAAAATATACGGTTTTACGATTAAACGTTAAATGGGCTGCAAAGTAACGGAAGCTAAAAAAGGAGGATTTATAACGGTTATTGCTATTATTATTTTGCGATTGCTAGTAATGTTTTTTGGTAAAATTGCGTAAAGGATTGGAAAGAAAAAAGGCGGAAAAGGCCGCGATATATTAATTTACTTGCTAAAATTAATAAAAAAGGAAAAAGCGACGGGAAAGCTTTAAATTGGCACGGAAACGTGCACCCAATAACGCAACCTAAATGCAACGAACGAACCGACCTTCGACCGGACCACAATACCTCGCTTCGAACAATAATAACTTTTTTTTTACCGAACGTTTGGAAGTGCGAAAAATACCTTACAAATAATTATTTACGAAAACGACGCGGAATAAAAAATACTTCGAAGGGAAGGAGTTTTTACCCGGCTTTACACCAAATAGCTATCGGCTGAAAGCACGGTTTTTACCTTTAAATAGCTACCCCGATCCGTAGTGCTCCCCATGGGCTATACAGCTCGAAAGGGGTAAATAAATTTATATATAT